TTCTAATCCTACTTAATGAAATATTAAATCTTGCCTAATCTTGCCTACTTAATGAAATATTAAATAAAGTACGAAACAATTTTACGAAAGTTTTCTCTAGGCACATATAACTTCTTTCTAAAACGAAAAGTAACATGCAAAACTTTGATATCATTTCTAAAATAGCAAGTGCAATTCTATGAAATGGCAATACTGTACGATCTTCCTAGCAGTCGCCCCGACACAGTCGGTCGGTCGGTCGGCCGCGGCTTCATAAAGCCGCGGCTGTGACAAAGGAATTAGACGGAAAAAAACTTTATAAGGAGTAGACGAACAGGGTTGCCGGGTTTGTTAGATTATAATTCCATACGAGAACAAAATTCTCGGTAGATCTTCAACAAAAATTAAAAGTACAGAAACGAAATAAAATATAATATTTAAGTCCAAAATTAGCATTCCTATGTGTCGTAATAATAGATCACTCAAATAAAATACAAATATAATAAATATAACAAGAATTAGAAATAGCTAGGTATATTATTTAATATTAAAAAAAATATTGAATTAAATAATATTAATATATTAATAAAAACATATAAAACTATAACAAGTAGGGATAGCAGTCACAAATTAGTGTAGCAGTCACTTTTTACCTTTGTACAAATTTTGATCAGTGATATCTAAAATTAATTTCATTTCAATGGGAAAGCTGTAGCAACTCTCAACTCTTTTTTTCATATTAATATTTTTTTTGACGGGAAAATCACTAAAATATTTGTCCGAATTTAGGTTGTTTCTTAACTTAAATTTTGTTTTTTGTTTACATTTTTTGGGGAAAATATGGGTTCAACTTTAGTAGATGAATGAAATAAAATCTTTTCAAAAGATATCAACTTCTTCGGGCATGTCGCCAATACCGCGCCTAATAAGGAGTAATAAGGAGTAATAAGGATTTTTAGGAATATCTCTGTAACTCTGCAACTAGACAGAACGATGACCTGTATGTGTGTTATTACTAAATAAAATTTAATGAAACAATAATAAAGTCAAATTATACAGATTCCAACACGGCAGTCGCTTAATTTTTAGTCAAATAAGTCAGCTTTTTATAAGTGCTTCTATTGTAAAAACTAAAGACGCAGTTGAATATATCGTTAGATTTTTCTTTAAATCGGTAGATCGGTAGCTTACAGACGAAACCGGTAGACCTGGCAACTCTGTGATGAACTGACGGGAGTCAGAATAGCGAGGTGCGGAGGCGCGGGAAGGGAAATAAAATAATGGCGATAAATAAAGGGCAGGGAGATGGGTATCATGAGTGGATGGGAGGTGGCGGAATTTCCAAAATTTGTTATCTTATTGGAGTTTGTCTAAGTAGACAGTCGTAGTGGAAGTGGAAACGGGGAAGTTGTTGTCCATCTCTGTTTAAGCATAGACTTTTTATAGGCGTTTCATTCCAATGCATGTAATTCCTATGCCTAGAGATCCATTGCCGGGCCTGTATATTTCCTTCGGCCACACACCCGCCTTATCTGACCCCTGAAGGACAACGGCCCAGCTACGTCGAAACACCGGTTCCCATTAGAACATCGAAGTTAAGCGACGTAAGCCGATACTAGTGGATGGACGGGTGACCGGTTCGAAACTCTGTATCGTGCTGTTGTCCAATAAAAAGCAAAAGTGTAAAATCTATTGGACCCACACTGCTCATTCGTGACACATTCTGACCCCTGAGAGCGACCCGAGCAATACTGCGTAATAGACTCTTAAAAATAATCCTTATCTATTAAAGCAACACTGACACAAACAAGACTGCTTACTATCAGATTGAGTCTGTCTTCCAATTCCAATTAATCTGTCATAGATCGTACGTAGTCACGTGATAAAGCTTGACCGTCTTTTACATAGTTTCTGTTAATCAAAATATTTTACTTAACAGAAATAAAGTAACTATTTTATTTTGTAGATTTTCTTGCAGTGGCGAAATACCCTGAAATACTCATATAGGATTTTTTGGAGAGATCCCTCACATATTTAGATACTCTCTTTGTAGTAGGGATGTGCGATTCTGTAAAGGATCGATCTATAAACTAAAAATATACAGGGTGGTCCGAACTGTATTCCAGAAACGTTGGCAGCATATTCTGCAGATAAAAATAATTAAAAAGTTCGTATGAATGTATAATATGTCCTAAAATGCTTAGTTTCGGAGATACAGGGTGTAGAATTTGCATTTTTATTTCGATTTTTTCCAAATAATTTCTGAAGTAACGTCAATATTTGGATGAAAATTGGTGTCTGGGAGTTTTTTAACATGAGAAATTTGATTTTGATGTCAATATCACTCCTATTTCTAGGGGGCGCCACCTACATGTGTTTTAACTGTTTTGAAGGGTAATAACTTTTTGTCCGTACCTGTATAAAACTACTGAGTGAAAAAATATACATTTCTCATATTTTTTACGTGAAAAATATCTCTAGGTAAAAATCGCTACGAGCAAGCGTTCTCAAGATATTTAGAATAGAAAGAGTCAATACATGTCATTATTGACAAAAAATAAACATGTTGAGTAGATAGTTTTTTGGCATGGTTTAACTGGCACAAAAACATTTCAAATTTATCATTTTAGTCTAATAACTATTTAGTCAATATGTCAATGATGACAGGTATTGATAATTTCGATTCCAAATATCTCGGGAACCATTACTCGTAGCGATCTTTACAAAGAGACCTTTTTACGTAAAAAATGTCGTAAATGTGTATTTTTTTACTCAGTAGTTTTATACAGGTACGGACGAAAAGTTATTACTCTTCAAACCAGTTAAAAATATGTCGACGGCGTCACGACAAAAGGGCGTAAGCGCCATTCGTCATTTTTTTCAGGAGACGAAAAAAACGTCTAAAATCTATATTTTTTATTTTTTGTGAATTATTTTTTGCTACAGTATTATAGATTATATGGCACATTTTTCAAGAATTTTTTGCTTATAAAATATTAAACTGTTAATTAGTTATTTTAATATTTGGCGCTTACGCCTTTCTTTCTAGGCTCGATTGGCGTTTACGTCTTTTTGAAAGGCGTTTAAGACTTTTGTGTCTTATTATTCTAGTCATTTTTTGTCGTTTAGGTGCACTTACGCCTTTTGAGTTTTACAAATAAAATTAAAAATGTCGCTTGGATTTTTTAAATTTTTTAAGAAAACACAGTACAAAATACTCAAACTGATACTTTCAATATTTTCAAACTCATTAGGCTTGAAATAATAACTGGAAAATTAAATTTAACTAATATTCTGAGCAAAACACGGGTGAACTTGATCCGTATTCCTCGTTGGTGGCAAAAGGTGGTGCTTCTAACATGAATAATTCTGACTCCAACAGCGCATCATGCTGCAATGCTTCTGCCAGATCATTATCTATGATATTGCTCTCAACCTCAACCTCTTGATTTCCACATTTTAATGCCAAATCTCTGATTTTCTTCCCGCGGGAAGTCATTATCACACTGTGGAGAAAAAATATAAAAAAGGCTTAAGCGACATCAAAAAAATCAAATTTCAAACAATTATTACAATCAAGAAAAAGTCCTTTGACTTGTAGCAAAGGTTTTTTTGAAAATTAATATTGTATACAATTTAGATATTTGACAATTTTTTGAAATCTGCTGAACGGTAGTTTTGTTAAAAGCAAAAAAATATGCCATTACGATCACATAGGCGGATGGCGCTTACGGAAACCAAATAAATTAACACGAAAAGACGTAACCGACAATAACAAATAAATGTCGGTGTTTACTATTTGAATAAGATTGAAGCACAAAAAACAATCTAGGCTACCAAATATGAATAAGACCTATCTTATTAATAAGTTTTTCTACGTACCTTTGAATGGAAAATGGTATTTTTTCATCCCAGGCGTAAGCGACCTTCCAACACGTGTGAATGGCGGTTACTGATTTTCGCGTCGAGTTGGTTTGAAAGTGTATTGGCGGTTAGAAACTAAAACTGTCTTTTTTCTCACGTTAAGAATTTTTGTTGGTTAAGCCGTTTCATAGATAGGTGCGCATTTATTAGTATTACATTTTGGAACCATAATCTCATTTTCGCTATTTTGGCGCTTACGCCCTTTTGTCGTGACGCCGTCGATGTAGGTGGCGCCTTCCACAAGTAGAAGTCATATTGACATCAAAATCAAATTTCTTATTGACACCAATATTCATCCAAATATTGACGTTACTTCAGAAATTATTTGGAAAAAATCGAAATAAAAATTAAACTTCTACACCCTGTATCTCCGAAACTAAGCATTTTAGGACATACATTTATACGATCTTTTTTACTTATTTTTATCTGCAGAATATGGTGCCGAAGTTTCCGGAATACAGTTCAGACCTCCCTGTATAATGTTATTGTTAAATTCTGACCGCTTATTGGTTATCTACGACACACAAAATATATTGCAAGTAAATAAATTTGGCCAAATTTACACAGGAAACGACACACGGTACTCGGACGACATCCGTGAGTACCAGGTATAAATTTTTCGGCTATTAATACACGGAGGCACAAATCCACTTTCGCAGAATTTAATTTGGACGACGTGTTTCGTGCGTCGATTAATCCCAAGATCTTGAAGACGTGAGCTGGATCTGAGCCAAAACGTCGTCTTCTTCTCCTAAGAAACAATGCGCCGCGTACTAGATCTCGTTCGGGGTTAATTTAATCGTCTCTCATTAGTTAGTAGACCTTAGTTTGTTACACTGTCTATTTTGGTTTGCTTTAAAACGTTGGAAAATACATTACAATGATATTTAATAATAGTTATTCTTTATACAAGACGATAAAATGGTATTTTATCGTCGATCGAAAATATTAATTTCGGAAGACGATAATGCAATTTTATCGTCCCTCGTGTATAAAACAATAATTTTTAAAGTACTATTTTATCTACTATTTTTGATAGATATAAGGATATAAGGCAATTTTAACAGTTGCTATGGAAACAAAATTAAACCACTTACCAAATAATCACACTTCGACATGTTTCGACTGCTAGTGTTCTCTGCACTATTTTTCGATCCCTGAAGAATTTCTTCCAAATATTCTATGTATTCTATGGCACTGCGTAGTATCTCCACTTTGGGCAGTCTTTGACCGGGATTGTTACACGTTCTTCTTTTTAATAATTCAAAGGCTTCATTTACCTGCAACATAAACAATACGAAATTAATATAAAGCTCTTTGAAGGTTAAAAATTTGCTATTTATTCAAATACCAACCAATAATACAAAAAAATGTCAAAAACCCACAAACAGATAAATGAATTAAAATTAAGTAAAATTAAATAAAATATAGAAAAGTTTATAATCAATAAGTCAGTCACAAAGATTGTTGTGCCAATAAAAACCTGTACAGTTCAAGCTTAAAAGAAAATGTGGAGAGATTCAACATATGCAATATCTGATTCATGTAATATAGTGCAGAATATCAGAAACTACCCTTAAATTTACTTGTGCTGTACTTCGGAATGCTAAAGGTATTGGTTCTAATGTTTATATTATGCACGTTAAGATCTTTTAGAAATAATATCAAATAAATAGGTAGGTGATTTGGTTTTATAATTTTTATATAAAAACGTAGATATCAGATACTGCATACGCCCATCCACGCATAAAATTTCCCTATTCTTCAAATATGGTGATATATGGTCTCGATATGGTATGTTGTCTACAAATCTTAAGCAGCTGTTTTGTATTCTTTGCAGTTTGTCTTTATTATATTGTGGAAGATAGTTACAATACAGTGCGAAACAGTATTCCATAGAGGGAAAAATTAATGTTTTGGCAAGTGGTCAACTTTAACTCTGATGAGAATTGGTATTTAAATGGATATTATAGTGTTTTTATTTATGTACAGTTTGCTATAAAAATAAAGGTAAAAATAAAAAAAAATAATACTTTTAGCCAAATACTAAAGCCTATGAAAAACTGTGTTTGGCAATTAAGGTAGATATATTTATGTACAGTTCACTAAAAAAAATCATGAAAATAAGGGTAAAAATAAGAAAAAATATAATAGGTACTTTAAATTTTCCGAGAGTGTAGAAAACTTGATATAGGGATTTCTTAAAACACAGAAACGCCCTGGTTTTGGCTAATTAGCGTACATATTATAATTAGGGGATGACTTACTTTCCTTAATCTTCTCCTTTCTCTTAATGTGGCTGCCTTCCGTCGATCGATAGCTACTGTTTTCTTTTTGCACGCTTTGCAAGCCCAGGCCAGACATTTTCTCGGTCCGCTTAAAGAACAACCTGAAACGGATATTGCTTTTTAAATATTTAAATTGTCCCGAGTAAAACAAAGCTTTTAGGTAGAGAAAACGCTTTCGGAAATCAAATAGTAAAGAAACCTTTATAAACAGGAGAATCAGTTGTTTTATTTTTCACGATAACATTTGCAGATATTTCTACGAAAGCGTATAGCTGCTATACCGTCTCAGGAAATCAAATATACTAAAAAGGAAATTCCACTTCTCCAAATCCCAGAGGATTACATACCAAGAATTTACAACTTTGAGAAACGCCTCACTGTAGTGTTGAGTAATAAAAAGGATGGGAAGGAAGAAACGCTTACTCAGCATGTAAAAGAACATACCATAACGTGGTATACTGATGCTTCCAAAACCAAAGCAGGGACAGGGATAAGAGTATTTGGGCCGAAAACTAAATACTCCGAACCATTGGGCACCTACCCCAGTATCCTTCAGGCAGAAATTTATGCTATCGAAAGATGGATACAATTTATCTTAGATAGGAACTATCGAAAACAGGAAATTGCCATCCTATCCGATAGTCAAACAGCACTAAACGCGATCAACTCAGTTACCATCAATTCGAAGTTGGCCAAAGAATGCCTAGAGCGGCTCAACAAATTAGGCAAAGAAAATAAGGTCCTCCTACTCTGGGTGCCTGCTCACCAAGGGATAGAAGGCAATGAAAAAGTAAATGATCTAGCTAGAAAAGGAGCGAACACTTGGACTTCCACTAACTGGACCAGAACCGTTCCGATTTCTAAACTGGAATCAACTGAAAGCGGAACTGAAGAATCTGGAAGACTCTATCCGTAACTTGGAATGGGTGTCCTCCAGCGGTCTAAGACACGACCTTAGAATTTCTCTTACGACCGCGAGAAATCAAAGGTTTTCCTTGAGTTAAGTAAAAACAATCTTCGGATTGTCACGGGGTTTCTAACAGGACACTGTCTCCTCAATGAACACCTCAGTAGGCTGAAGCTGAGAAACAACGGCGAGTGCAGATTCTGTGGGGAAAATGGGGAAACACCAGAACACCTTATCAGTGAGTGCGCCGAGACGACGACCATTCGTGCCATGAACTTTGATATGGCTGATGACGAGGATAAAGAGTTGGTCTGTGTGGGGCCGTTTCAGATACTGGCTTTTGTTAAAGCCCTGAGACTGTGTGATGGATAAAGAAAGGGAAATACACAATAGATCTGTAAGGTCGTGGTGATTATAACTCCCCTCCTAAACAGTATGATGAGTTATAACTCGTTAAAACTCAAGAATGGGGATCATAAAATAGATGGTAGCGGTGATTTACCCCCTCCTAAACATTCTACATTCTTCATAGCTTTACCAAGATTGTGAAATATGTTAAGCAAGATTTATCCATTTTTTGTAAATTTTGAATTCACATATTTACTGTAAATTTACAGTTTTTCTGTCAATTTCTACCTGGCAACACTGCTAACGGATCCACCTTTTGTACTTCGAAAACATTCAAAAACAACAAACAGACGTTTTTCTCCTTTTGGATCTTTTTACTTTTTACTTTTTCTCAACTATACCATCATCATTATCATTCTCAGGTTATTCAACCATTTCCAATTATGGTGTAGCCTTTATGACATATTTAGATACTCTCTTTGTAGTTGAGCCCATTGGCTGTCTATTGTTGGCTATGCGGACCCATGTTATCTCTGCTAATTTCCTAATATCATGGTCCCATATCAGGTTCGGTCTTCCTTTAGGCCTTTTAATTCCTCGTGGACTATATTGCAATTTTTGTAGTCCATCTGTTGTCCGTTATTCTCTTGTTATTCTTGCCAGGTATCCTGCCCATTGCCGCTTGAGGGATTTGATTCTGTGGATGATATTGTCGCGACTTAGCTTGGGGGTTGTTTGATAGGGTCGCTATACCAGGTTCTCTGTCTTAATCAAAACAACCATTAGATAAAAACACATTTATTTAGCATAAGGTTTACAGTGTGGATAAAATAAAATTTGGGAAATTCCAAAAAATGCCTCAAGACTCAATATATGGTATACTCAAACAAGGTACTTGGTACTTACAGGAACATCTTCATTCTTCGCTGTGTTCTACTGGTTCCGACTAGCCAACTAACGGACTAATAATGCGAATCACTGACTGGCCAACTAACTGAACATTGGACTGCAACGGACTAATCAACTAACTAACATTCAGCGTACCCTTTTATATTTGTCCGCTCGTCCCAATCATCGGCGGGTGCGTGCTCAAAAGTTTTCTTTGTATATTTCCAGCACCGATGTTTAGTACGAGCTTGCTTTGAAACATCACGCTACATCGACCTGACTTTAATTGTTTTAATTAACAATGTTTACTATAAGAACATGTCTAGGTCAACGTATACGTGAACGATTCCCTTGGAACTCTGGGGTTGTTTTAGAATATATCATTACTCTTGCTTTGGCTTCTTTGCTATATATTGGCGAGAGTTTCCTATATAAGGCCTATCAATACTCTCCTGTTTCGCTAGGGCTTCTATTAATGCCTTAGGATATGTAGAGTCTTCAATATAAGCCTTCTCAAAATCTATAAAAGCTATGGCTATTGGAAGTTCGTATTCTTTTCTTCAGCTAATAGTTTTTTTAAGGTGGCTACAAACACTACTGCAAGCTTGACAAGCATGCATGAACAATCTTTTTGTACAAGCAAACTGTAGCGTCTGTAGGGAAAATTTGCGCAAGCATTTTAATTGTGCAAGCCGGTTGATGATTGATTGAATTTGAATCATGCAAGCTTGGACAAGCCGTGCTTGCGCAAGCGAAACGGTACCTGTGTACCACATGTATTCGACTTGTACAAACAATTAGTTCAGTCCGTGATCGTAAATGACCTGTACGTCGCGTCTCCAGCATGTCTAGCGATCTGAAAAGGAGCAATCGAGGATTATTGGAAGATTTCATTCGCGCATACGAAAATCCGCCGTGTCTTTGGCGAATTAAATCACCAGAATATCATGATAGGGTGAAGCAGGATGCAGCATATAAAATTTTACTTAATAAGTATAGATTAATTGACAGCCAAGCCGATAAGGATGCCGTTATTAAAAAGATAAATGCCTTCAGGATTCCTTCTTCTTTTCATAAACTGAAGCTTGTTTAAGCATGCATGTACCGTGTGGCGGCGAAGGTAAATTATGCATGGCTTGTACAAAAAGATTGTTCATGCATGCTTGTCAAGCTTGGAGTAGTGTGTGTAGCCACTTTTAGTGTATGTATGTGATCAATCGTGCTGAAGCCGCTTCTAAAGCCTGCTTGTTCTCGTGGTTGTGCAGCGTCTAGTGTGTTTTGTATTCTGTTCTAGACCTGTATAATACCGGGCGCTTAAACGAAAAACGATATTTACTAAAATAATGAAAAATAATTACCATAAATCGATCTACAAAAAAAAAGTAAAAAAGTAATGAAAATCTGATTAAAAGTAAAAATGTTATAAAGCAAGGTTTTCAAAATTGGAGTGTATAATAAAATGTTTACTTGCCTGAATTTTGAGGTTCTAACACGTGATTCAGTTCCTTTTCATCTTCGCTGTCTATAGAGCTTTCGGCACTGACATAGCCGGTGTCACCTACAAATCTACAACAGAAATAAAAACGGTTTTAGTGTAATCCCCTGTCTAATAAATATATCCGTAATGTATTAAACATCAAAGAAAAATCTCAACTTGAAACACGAATTTTATGTTTTTAAATTTGTTCCTTTTTTTAATACCTAATAAATATTGTTTAACGTTTGTAACTTTATAAACCAGGTTTGATTTGATGGTATTATATATACCGACGCACACACGAAACAAGTCACTATACAGGGTAAGTTTAAAATAAGTGCAAATATTTTCAAGATCTACCAGCATAAACGGACAGGGTGTCCCAGAACTACAACATTTAGATCGGAGATTTTTTGCATATTACTGTTTTACAACGAGATCTATCGATTAAAAATATTTTCAATATGGCGGCACTTCCGGAAATACCGGAAGTTGACAGCAACTTTCTTATTTTAAATGGGTACCCCCATTTTTTATTACATACTTAAATTCTGTGTAAAATTTTATGAATTTTGATATCAAACACTCTATACCTAACATTATCCGTTTTTGAGAAAAAAAATATTTAAAATTTTTGGAGGAAAAAAACTGCCTGTCAAAAAAGTCAGTATAGCCCTGTATAGCTTAAAGGACAAATTTAGTGATTACCACAGCCACTGTACCATAAAGAGAAGACAAGTGGCTAACTATTTCAAAATTTAAATTGTCCGAATGTCATATAATACTAGCCGTAGCTGCCATGGAATTGAACGATTAAAGAATTATCATAAATCATTTTTTTCAAATGGAAACCCACTTTTTTATTTCATTAGTGAAAAGGTTTTTCAATTCGTTACTTTTTGACTATACATGTTCTTATATCTAAAATAAATCGTTTTTAAGTTGTTTAAGATTTAGTTTTAAAGCGTATTTTTTTCTTAATTTTATCTGGCTTCCGTTGACATTACTTGTCAAATCATCAGAAAATGTATTTCCTTCTGTCAAAAAACTATTTATTTGTATTTCGTATATTATAAATACTGCTGGTAAAACTTTATAAAGTGTATTTATAAGAATATATCTCGTATTTTAAAATTTTACAGAAAATTTAAGTATGTAATAAAAAATGGGGGTACCCATTTAAAATAAGAAAGTTGCTGTCAACTTCCGGTATTTCCGGAAGTGCCGCTTTATTGAAAATATTTTTAATCGATAGATCTCGTAGCGAAACAGTGATGTACAAAAAATCTCCGATCTAGATAGATATTGTTGTTCTCTAGAAACTTCTAATGCCCGCTCGGACTGGGACACCCTGTATAAAGGATAATATTTCCTCTTTACCGTTTGTTAAATATAAGTCCAAAACAGCCGAGTTATTTTACTTAAAAAAATTATTTTTTATTAAGATTCACTGGCAGTACACATTAGGCAATGTTTTCTTCTTTAGATTAAAATTATTACGATATTTCTATTATTTCATTTTAGTATAATAGAAAATTTATATGCATATTAATATGTAATAATTGCTTATGACTTTTATAATATACAGGGTGAGTTAGTTTTAATTCTACACTATTATAGTCTACTATTAAAGAAAACATTTCTAAATTTTCTTTTTTAACTTTAATTACCTAATATTTTGCAGGTGCAAATATGTTTAATGTAATTTATTAGTAAAGTTATAAATTACTCAAAAAATTTAAGAATTTGATCTAGCAAATAAATTTCAGGGTTATCTTATTTTCAAATGCGATTTAATTGGCTTCAAACTGTACTGCAAGTTATTTTTCGCTGTAACTAATTTATTATTTTCATGATATCTATTTGAAACAAACAACAACTTGGTAAAATTTTAGATATGACGGATAGTTTTGAAAAATTGACGAAATTTATCTTACAGCGGCCTTGGAAAAATGTTGAATTCTATTTCATTTTATACGCATATTCCTGGTATAAACGTATCTTTTAGATTATGTTATTGTAACGTTTTTAGTTCGTTACATGTCTTTGATTATGATATATGATGTCTGGGCACAACCCTGTTATTGTTTGGCACAACCCTGTTATTGTTTGACACAACCCTGGTATCGCTCTGTGGGAGCGCGCGCTGTCAACATCGCTTCTGTCAATTCTCTGTGATCTAACTTCACTTTTGGTTGGACCGTTTGGCCTCTTAGACGCCATTAGTCCCAGTGTTGAGAAATGGTGGTCATTTAAATCTGGCTGTATTATCTGAATCAGCTGCCATTTCGAAGCTACAGGTTAGATTCGATATTATTAGTGAATATTTTTAGGGTAGAGTGACGGATGTCCCAACTTGTATTTGTATTTGGCTGGCACGTTGGCGTCCCTTTGCTTTTGTCCTCCAGAATGTCATTTGGAAGAAAGGACAGATTGTTTATTATTTATTGAGCCCTCGGAAGTATTTCGAGGGAGGTTCATTTTGTTTATTAGACGGTGTTTGATTTTAAACAAGAGTTTCGTGTTCTTAGGGTCTTACGGACGGACATTGTCTTACGAACAAGTGTCCAAGGTATGGACTATTTTTCAAGGTCCTAGTAGTGTTCTCTTGTGCCACTATCTTATGGACGGATGTCCCATGGACAAGTGTCCCCAGTAGGATTGATTTGTCTTACACATAGAGTGCCCCAGCGTGGATGTGGCTTGAGCCCCGTGCTGCTTCACCCCCATTTCTAAGCCTGGATCGCCGACAGACAGTACAGAGATGCTAGACCTCCTCGCGCTGCACTGTTTGAAGCAGGGTTACATAAAAGAACAGCTAAGTGTATATTTAAGTTCTAGTTTTGCATTTAACATCTAAAATGTTTTCAGTCTTAAACAGTAACGTACATTTTAAACAATAGCGTACAGACTATATTTAGTGGTTAGATTATTAAGGATATTTATGTCGATGCAGTAGTAAAAGTGTGATTTAGATTTTAGATTTCATAATATCACGCATTGTAATAGTATTACTTTCTATAGACATTATTATTACGCTATACTAACAGATGAATAACGAGATAGATTCTAGAATCTACAGGTTGCAACACATCTGATTTAACACCGTATAAATTTAACAATTTAAATAAAGTAATGCTACTTTTCCTATATGTTCTATAACGTTACACGCATTGTATTTTCTTTATAGTCTTTTCATAGAACGTATTTAATATTATTTACATATATAGTTTTACTCAACAAGTAACCACTATAATAATTATATTAATTGTACAATGCTATTTACCATCAGAATTCATCACGAATAAATATAGTCATTTTATAAGTATTATACAACTGTGTTTTCTTTCTCTGTACATGCCTGGCGCCCAATATCTATATATCTTTTGTTTATTATTATTGATTAATTTTCTCTCTAGTGAAATACCTTATCCACGACTGCTCTCCGATGAAAAGCTGCCGTTCGCAGTGGTAGTTGTTTAAAAAACGCTACATTATGTTTAAAGATATAGTTCATATCAAATAAACTTTAAGTCACGTGATTAAGCTTGACCGGCACAGCGTTGTCCACTTTTACGTATTTTTTTTTAAACAAAATGTTTTAGAATGAATCCCCAAGCGGGAAATTTAAATTCCAGTTAGTCAGTCTGGCGACGAATGTGTTCCCACGGTTGGGAATGAATTTAAAAATCGCGCCCTCGATTACGTAACTTAAAGTTTAATTGGTATCAAATATATACCTATAATATTTTAGTGTGCACTATAATATACAGAGTGGTTCGAGGAAATTAGCGTTTTGGTGTATTGTGGCGAATTAGTACTTTATTTTGCCAATGTTTAGGTAGCAAAATCTTTCATAGAAAATAGGCAGGGTCAAATTTTATCCAACTGAAAAAACCTAAATAAAAAAATAATAAAACCGATATTTGATATCTACGTTTAATTTATTCTTTTCTATTTTTTTCTTTTTAGTTATTGCTTGATTTGCATAGTTCCATTTTGCGATATTAACGGCTTTGGGGATTAAAACCCTCGCTGCTTATTGTTTCCATTCGCTATGGCCAGTGTTGCCAACTATCCATAATATAATTTCCCGCAAAGACTGTCAAAATTTTCTGTTTTTCCCTACAAATTTTCATGAATTCTGAAAACCAATAAGTCGATTAAAAATAATTTAAAATTAAAAAAAAACATGAAAATATTGTTACGTTTTTCGTCGGTTCCGTGTGGATAGAAAGTCACAATTTATTTAAACACTATTTATTTAACACTAATTAACAAAAACAATAACGATAAAAGACTTATAGAACTATTTACAAAGGATTTATAACTAAGAATTTATTTTGAATTTCAGCGCGTCAACTGCACTCGTCTATTTATAACTGCCCTCTGTAGGCCCCAGCCGCTGGCTTTTATACCTACAGCTAAAGATTTCTAGAATAGTCCATAGATCGTTAGGTGCATAGAGAAGGTTTTCGAATGTTCTCGTATGTACTAGTCCATTCCAGTGGGACTCGATTCTTCTCGAACGAATGAATCATTACGGTGTCTATTCTTTAATGCGATGTTAAGGCTGTGTTAAGGTTATCTGAGGGCGGGACATATGTATAGTTAGGTTAGGTCGAGTCCACACGGGTCCGCAACAATATAGTAGTGTTTTTTCGCTGAAAATCAAAACACGTTTCTATGATAATATAATTTCGTTTTCAATCTATGATAGATTCTTATTGATAAAATTTTAATTAAAGTCATATATTTTGCTGTTTTAAAATGTTAAAGTGGCACAAAATTTATTTAGTTCAATGCTACGGAAAGGGTGATAATAGTTATCGGAAAATACGATATACTTTAACAAAATATGACGTTAATCAAAAGTATCAATAACCATCTATCAAAGAATGAAATCGAAATAATATTTTCATAGAAACGCCTTTTGATTTTCAGGACTTCACAAAATTCGACCATGTTTTCATAGATTCTTTAATTTTCCCTAAAACGGTATGGAAATTTGGAAAGGTATATAAAAGGGATTAACCATTTTAGAACAAGCAAAAATAAGCAAAATAAAACACTAAATCATCACAATACA